TCAGGCTGTTAAGAAGTCTCCTGTCCTAATAGTACCCACCATCACCAGCTAAAGAAACAGATCTTTGGATCTCTAAAGAAAATTTTGTTCTCCACATTCTGTCTGGCAAGAAACCACTTAGCAGCAGTTGTGGTTGTGAGATGTATACGTCTATTGTTTTGCCTTTGTGGTCCCCACTTCTCTATTGTTTATCTGTAGAGTCTCTGTCTGGTTCTTTGATTGTTTCTGTCTGTTGCATAACTAATTTTTCAAGATTTAAATCAACTAAGGTGGCTGGATCTGATTGGGTAAAGAATTGTTTTGTAATGGGCTAGGATTGGTGAAATGATTGGGTAAGGAACAGCTAAGCAGGACTCAAGTTTCACTCACTGTATAAACTGGGGTCCAAAGGGAAATTCTTTGAATCCTAACTCCAGGACACAGCCCAGGATCAGAGCTGCCGGACCCAACACCCTGCCAACCATAATCGTGCAGAAGCTGGAGTCCCCAGACGATCTACTCTTAACTGGCCACCCATGGTGGTGGTGTGCAGTGTAGGGTGGGCTGTGGGGGGTGTTTGTGATGTGTTTAGGGAGAATCTCTGGCCAACCTGAACCTCCCCCACTGCAACTTGAGACCATTGCTCCTTGTTTTGTCAACTTGCTGAAAAGTCAATGGGCCAGATTCCAGCTGGTGTAAAGCATCTGTGGCTCTGTTGACCCCAACCTCCCAATGGGGCGGGTCCCACTGAGTTGCTGTGATGTGTGTGACATTCCCCCCCACACCCGGGCACCCAGTGCATTGGGCAGAGCCTGCTGCTCTGCCGGGGCTGGTTCCTGAGTGGCTCCAGGTCAGGTCACAGGGCCGTAGGGCGTAAGACCAGAAGGGCCGATTCGGACCATCCTCTACAGTCCCTGGCATCACCCACAGCAGGGGCCCCCAGCCAGGGCCGCCAGCCACTGCTGCCCCCGGCCCAGAACACCAGGTCTGGAGTGAGATCCCAGGGCCAGGATCCCACAGTTCACACAATGCCCCTGTCAAGGTTCCTTCCCCACTCTGAACTTTAGGGTACAGATGTAGGGACCTGCAACCCTCTGCTAGCCCAGCCCTGAGCTCCCCACCCAGCTCTGCCGGTGCCCCTCAATCCCAAACTGCAACCCTCTGCTAGCCCAGCCCTGAGCTCCCCACCCAGCTCTGCCGGTGCCCCTCAGTCCAGACCTACAGCCCCCTGCCAGCCCAGCCCTGGGCTCCCCCCGCCCCACCAGCTCTGCCAGTCCCCTTCAATCCCAACCCACAGCCCCGTTTGCCCAGCCCTGGGCTCCCCTGACCACAACTCTGCCGGTGCCCCTCAATCCTGACCCACAGCCCCCTGTTAGCCCAGCCCTTGGCTCCATTAGGAGGGGGAGGTAACGATGCTGCCTTTGGTGGGACACTTCTGAGAGTATCAGTTCAGGACAAATTGCTTAGAGCAGGGCATTTACCGCCCCAGGCTGGTGGTTCTCCACCTCTAAGGCACACCAAACCAGCCAGATAGAGAAGACTTTGGTTTTACCCCACTGGCTAACCATAAGTCACACAAGCAATTCCCTTAGACCAGTGGTCCCTAACCTTTCAGTGTGGCGGGCGCCGGACGACTAGCCGCTGAAATGCCGCCGAGAAGCGGCAACGTCAAGAAGCGTCACCGCCGAAATGCCATCGAGAAGCAGCGTCATCAAGAGGCGTCACCACCGGAATGCTGCCGAGAAGCAGCGGCATTTCAGCGGCAACGCTTCTTTATGTTGCCACTTCTCGGCGGCATTTTGGCGGCTGCTTGTCCAGCGGCCGTGCTCCTTGGCAGCGGGGCACTCCCTTGTCAGTAGGCGGGCACACATAGATGCCCCGGCGGGCTCCATGGCACCCGCGGCCACTGCGTTGGGGACCACTGCCTTAGACACTCCAGTTTCCCAGTATCACCACCAGTGCCACTTGTTATGGTGGTGATGAATGGTTATGAAAACCAATACCCCAGTAAAAGAAAAAAGTTCCGCCTGTTCCCAAAGGACCAAACCACAGACCCAGGTCAATATACAGATCAGATCTTACCCACAAATCACGCTGTTGCCAATCCTTTTGAATCTAAAATCTAAAGATGTATTCATAAAAGGAAAAAGATATAGATGAGACGTACAATTGGTTAAATGGAATCAGTTACATACAGTAATGGCAAAGTTCTTGGTTCAGGCTTGTAGCCGGGGCGGTTCCAGGCACCAGGGCAGCGGTAGGTAGGTTGGGAGGTGTTTATCTGTCTCTGTCTCATGGTGTCTCCCCCAAGGTCTGCCTGAGATGAAGCTGTTCCTGGCGTTCGCCCTGCTGGGGGCTGTCTCTAGTTGCTGTCTCTGTAAGTCCTGGCGCCCCCTGGATGGAGCCCTTCACTCAGCCCTGGGGGTAGCCTGGCCCACAGGCCACTGCCCCCAAAGGGGATCCCCTACAGAGGGCTACTGCATGGGCCCTATGGGCTTGGGTGAGACCCCAGCATGGACAGTACAGGGCTCAGTTATCCCCAGACCTGTGCTCTCACTGACCCCCCAGCCCCACTGCATTCTGGACACTGGGTCCTCCGACCCCCACCCTTTTCTGTCCTGGCACCTGGGTCCCCCATTCCCCACTGACCCCCAGCCATGCTTTGTCTCAGACCCAGACCCAGTGTACATTCCCCCCAGCCGTTGTACCCCCTGGTCCATACAGCCATGGGGGCACCTCTCCTCTCCCTGGTCATTTGCAGTCTGGGGTGCACCATGGGGCTGGAAGGGCCCATTGGACTCTCTCGCCCTGGTGCCCTGGAGCAGAAGGTACAAGCCAAGCAGGGTAGCTCCGTTCTGGAAGAGGAGCCCGGGGAGCCAGAGCTACTGTGACCCGGGGAGGACAAGAGCAGGCTGGACAAACACCTTTCAGGGATGGTCTAGATAATACTAAGTCCTACCACGAGTGCAGGGGACTGGACTAGATGACCTCTCAAGGTCCTGTCCAATTTTATGATTCTATGATCTACAGCCCCCCCCACTCCCTAAGCCTCCAACCTCCAAACACCCAGTGTACTCCCCCATCATCTACAGCTCCCCGCACTCCCCAAAGCCTCCAACCTCCAAACACTCCCCTTCCTAAACAGGGGTCGCTGTCTCAGTATAAAGCACCATTACGCTGGTCTGGCTGTGACAGGTACAACAAGAGCCCAGACAAACCTTACAGAACGAAGTTGAACCTCATTGAATTAAGTGTCAGTATTTTGGGAGACCAATGTATTGAAAATGAAAATGTTTCTGCCCTACTGGGAGATGGCATAGAGGGAAGGCCACGACTAATGCAATCGTGGGAAGACATTAGGGACGACAAAGGACTTTTGGGGACAATACGTCTGAAGTGGATTTGCTGGGAAATCCACAGAACGGAAGGAAAATGCAAATGACCCACCGCAAACCCCTCCCGATCCCCTCCTTTTGCAGCAGCACGGTGAGCAGCGACCCGGTGTCTGGCTGATGGCCTGGTCAGGATCTCTCTACAGGCCCAAACGGGAGCAATGATTGAGTCAGAGTCACGGGTTGTTCTCTTTCTGAGCGAAGTATGACAAATGTGTAATGCCGGGGCAACCCCTGGGTGGGGGCTGCTCCCGCCAGCCCCATGCTGGAGGGGTTGAGCTCGGATGAGCTGAGTAGCACGCATGTAGGTTCTTTTACTGGTTTGAATGTTTTCCCTAGTAGTGCTTTTACCATAAGAATAAAATGCGCTAGCTTAGAAGAGCTGCGTGGTACCTTCTAACTGTGGGCAGTTACGCTGTTGTTAGCCGATGGAGAGAGAGCAAGCAGGCCGACTTAGGCCGTCTGTTCCTGAAAGGATCGGCCAGGACACGTGAAGGGGAAAGGTGGGGAGAGCGCTCCTTGCTGGGGGACGACTCCCTTCCCTGGGGTGCCTCTCTTTGCACTGGGAGGGAGGAACACTGCGCTGCCTGGCAAGAGGAAGACCGGCATGGGTCTCCCCCTGTGAAAGGCAGTGGCTGGGGAGCTAGATAGGGCAATCCCTAGCTATTCTGGGGCCCTACGCAGCCCCCCCACGGGGGGGAGGCCTCCGCAGGGGGTGTGGGGCTGGCTTGGGGGGCAGGCGAGAACCACGCCCCCCCAGCACTCACCGGCAGCATGGCTGGGACCAGGTTGCTGCACTTCCCACCTAGGGTGACCAGACAACAAGTGTGAAAAATTGGGACAAGGGGTGGGGGGTAATAGGAGCCTATATGAAAAAAAGACCCAAATATCAGGACTGTCCCTATAAAATCGGGACATCTGGTCACCCTATTCCCGTCGCCGGTGAGCACAGGCCAGCCCTGCTTCAGTCCTCAGGGGAGTGGGGGCAGGGCTGGGGCGGGAGGCTTTGGGGAAGGGGTGGAGTGGGGGCGGGGCTTGGGTGGAGGAGGGGCAGGAAGAGGCAGGTGCGGGGGCCATGGGGAAGAGGCGGGGCAGGGGCTGGAGCAGCACGCAGCTGCGCAGGGCACCAGGAAATTTGGTGCCCTACGCAGCTGCGTACTTTGCGTATGGGTAGGGACGGCCCTGGAGCTAGACGCCTTCAGGTGGTGGCCTGGCTGGACTAAGGAGGGGAAATACAGGTGCGGTTGCCCCGACCAGTGACACTAACCAGGTCCACACAGGTGGGGCTCATGCCAGGACTGGTACAACTGCTGCTGTAACTGAGGGCTCAGAAGCTGAGGCTACACCCCAAGGAGAGCCCCAGCCCAACACGGGCTAAGGTGTTTCTGCTAAGCAGCCGTACGATCCCTTCCCCAAGCAAGGGGGGGTCTTGGTGCTGAAATCTCAGCAATCTCCCTAGCTGGGCATGAACAGACGAGCCCCGGCTCTGGCCAATCCAGCGCTGATCGGTGGTGATGGTAACAGAGCAGGAAGCACCGGTTACGTGTGCCTGCCACCTCCGTGTCCCCCTGCAAGCCCTGGAGAGAGCCCCAACCTGCGCGCCTGCCCCAGCACAGCCCCGAGGGACACTGATGAGAAAGTGAGTTTTATTGATTAAAAAGCCCTGGCATGGGAGAATGGAGTCAGCACTGGAGGGGGGGAATAGCACGTCCCTGGGCCCGGATGCCCCGTCCCGCCCAGGACTGTTTCCTCCTCCCCACTCCGGAATCTGGGAATCTGCCAGGATGGAAATAGGGGCAAAGGTGGGGAGAGCCACCCCCCCCCCCCCGCTGGCGAAAGGAGACCCCACACTCCTACCGTTGGGGTGCCTCTCTCAGTGCTGGAGAGAGCACCTGAGCTGGAGAGAGCGCCCCCTGCTGGGACAAGGGAACCAATCCCATCCACCCCTCAGTCCCAAGGGCGCCCTCCCGAGCTCTCAGCACCCAGCCAAACCCAGAGAGAGCGCCCCCTGCTGAGGAGCACACGCTCCCCAGGGGGAGGAGTGCTGCCCATTTCTTGTACAGTGCCAGGCATGCTGGTAACTGAGTGGCGCCGGTGCCAGCAGCAGCCAAGCTGGCCCGTGTCTGCCGTGCCTGCTCCCTGGCACTGCCCAGGTTCAACGGGGAGGGAATGGTACATGCTTCCTGAGGGAGATGGCAGTGCTTTCATGAGGACGTGCCAGAGGAGAGATTTCCGCCCCCTTGGCGAGGGGGCCCATGAGGAAGACTGGCCGGTGATGAGGAAGATGGAAGAAGCAGAGGCTCGCAGGAGGGGAGTGTACAAAAGATGCCCTTGCCTATGAGCAGGGGCGAGGTGCCCGCAGCAGCAGAGGGCGGGTAGGAAACTGTCCGGTCGCCAAGGGCAGGGGCACTAGAGGCCGATGGAGTAGGCCCCCGAGTCGGTGGATTGCTTCTCGTCATTCCGGCCTCCCAGCATCTGGCTGCTCCTGTACACGGGGCTGTGGCGCAGGGTCACCTCCGTCACCTGCAGTGGGCACAGAGCCGGGTCAACGCCCACCACAAGGGCATGGAGGGACCTCCCCACAGGCAGCCCCCACGGCGGGGACTGCCAGGCTATTGCCACAGTCATGCTGGTAGGAGTCAGGAGCTCCCCCCACAGCCAGCGCTCCCAACTCCACTCCCCACAGCGCCCCCTGCTGGGAGAGGCTGGGACTGGAGCAGCCGGGAGCTCCCCCCACAGCCAGCGCTCCCAACTCCGCTCCCCACAGCGCCCCCTGCTGGGAGAGGCTGGGACTGGAGCAGCCGGGAGCTCCCCCACAGCCAACGCTCCTGTCCTGCTCCCTGCAGCGCCTCCTGCTGGGAGACACCAGGACTGGAGTAGCCAGGAGCACCCCCCAGATCCAGCACTCCGCTCTCTGTTGGGTGTGCCAGGTGCTGCAGCACTTTGGGCTCCGCCTCCCTTGGACTCACCTCTTCGAACTTCTTTGCCTTGTACTGCTCTGCGCCCTTCAGGAAGTTGAGGAGGATGATGTCACACAGCACAGTGCCCTGCCGGGGAGGGGAGACAGGCTGAAGAGGGGGCCCAGCCAGGCTCAGCAGGGGGCGGGGCCTTCCTTTCTGGGGGTGGGGCTGTCCCCAGTCACCTGGGGATGACAGAAGCCCAAAGGCAGCAGGGCAGGACCCACAGGCCTCTGGGTTCATGGCGGGAGGTGGGGGGGCTCTGGGAGCGGGAGACCGGACATGGAGCCTGAACCGAGAGAGGCTGATGAGCTGGCCTAGCCCTTCCCCTTGAGAGCTGGGCTGAGCGCAGGTACCCGGGCTCGTGCGTTCAGAGCCCGCACTGCTGGAGCATCAGTAACCTCTCTCTGGGGCCCGGCCACCAGAGAGGGACAGTGCCCTACACTGAGGGGGGTGGGTGACACACTGCTGAGTGGAGGCTAGAGCACCTCCCGTGGCATCGTCATGGTGCCATCTTGGATTCCCCCTGCATCGTTACCACAGCCCTGTCTTGGATTCCTCCCACCCTGTTACTATGGCACCCTCTTGGATTCCCCCATGCCATCACCTCAGCGCCATCTTGGATTCCCCCTGTGTCATCACCATGGTGCCATCTTGGATTCTCTCTGCGGCTCTGCAGTCCCTGGCGAGCCTGGATTTGACTTTTGACTCAGGGCTTCACTAAGCAGCAAGGAGGCCTGCCCAGATGGACAGCTCTTCGCTCCGCCCAGGGCCTCCCTTTTCCCTGCAGCCCGGGGCTTGTTCACCCCGGCTCGTGTGGAGTGGGCAGAGGGGAAGGAGAAGGAGGCGGAGAGACTGTTGCACTCACCACCCCGACGGAGGTGAAGGCTGCCACGGTGTTGATCAGGGTTGGGATGATGTTGAATTTCCCAGCCTGAGAGCACAGAGGGTGGAATTAGTGGTTGGGGGAGGGAAGGTTTTTCCCTAGGACGCCCCTTCTCCTGTAATCCCCTCTCCACACCCAGCGTCAGGATCTGTGCCCCATCCCCTCCTGCCTTGTGGCTTCCGTTGGGCACGTAAGTCTGGAGGCTCTTGTCCTCCTTCATTAAACATGGCCACCAGGTGGCGCTGCATCTCCAGGCGTATGACCACAGCCAGCCAACTCCTCCTACACCCCATGGTGCTTCAGCAGACATGTGGGGGAGTCCTCCGCTCTCATTGCAGGGGGAGGAAGGACAGTGAGGGGCCAAGCTGGAACCCTCCTCACCAACAGGAGGTGGGGTGGCATGGAGAGTCAGGCACATGGGGGCAGTCCCAAGCCTGGGCCCGTACATGGAGGGGAGGAGGAACCCCAATGCTCTGATTGGCCAAGAGCTATAGATGCCCATGGGGAGGTCTCTACAAGCCTTGTATGGACCCCTCACACACATTGGTGATTCCCCATCAGCTCCCTTCCTCTATCCTAGGGCTTCAGTGGTGGCTCCCCGCACTGACCCTGTCGGCTGCCTGGCCATACGTACGTTCCCGTAGACCAGCACATCGAAACGGATGCCAAAAGCCTTCATCAGGGTCCGGTACTCAGTGCCGTTCTCCCGCCTGTAGTACTTGGCATACCTGGGGGACAGGGAGAGGGGCTGTGACTTGCCACCCCCTGGTCCCCGGTGCACCAAGGTGTGCACACCGACGGGCGGTTGTGTGTGAGGGAGGTGTGACACAGTGTGTGTGGAAGGAAGGGTCTGGTATGAAGATAGTGTGTGAGTGTGTGTAGCAGGGAGGGTGTATGTAACTGGGTGAGTCAGTATGTAGGTGTGGGGGTGTAACTGGGAGAGTGTGTGTAATACTGTCTGGTGTGTCAGTGTTGCTAGAGGGTAGTGTGTGTAATTGAGTATTTGGTGGAACTGGAGGGGAGTGTGTGTAGAGTCGGGTGTATGAGGTGTGTCAGTGTGTATGTGGAGGGCAGTGTGCATTGTGTGTGTAGTTGGGTGTATCTGGTGTGTTAGTGTGTATATAGAGGGCACTGTGCGTAGTCAGGGATCTGTGCTGTGTCTGTGTGTAGCTGGAAGGTGCTGTATGCCCGTGTGAGAGGATGGACATGTGCCCTGAGCGTGTCCCAGTGAGTGAGTTAACCCCGGGGTCTCACACAACTTTTTCTGTGTGTTTGCGTGTGTGCGTGTACACCCGCTGCACTTGCCTGAAGTTGTAGCCGGGAGAGACGTTGTTCTTCTCGGAGACGCTGTCGAGGCGGGTGAAGGTGTAGCTGGGCACGCAGTGCTCCCATGAGCGATCCAGGTCACACACCCACCCAATCTTGATCCCCAGAATTCCTCCCTGTGCACAGAGATGGGGTGTTAGGCCAAACTACCCCAGGCAGCACCATAGAGGGACCATTACGCCGGGTCACTGGACAAACCCCTTCCCCCATTCTAAGGGACTGACCAAGGCCCCAGAGTCCCCTGCAGCTCCCCCCTTCCGCTGTATGTTGAAGGACGCCCCCTGGAGATGGTCCTAATTCACATGCGCCATCACACGTGTGCTCTCTCCTGGCATGTGGCTGCCAGGCCAGAGCCGAACGTGGGGAGTCGTGAATCTCACCGTGGAGGCCAGCTTGGAAAAATCCTGGCCGGCAAAGCGGACGATGTCACCCAGACGCAGGATGGGGCAGAAGGGCTGGTTGACTGGGTGGAAGCGGCACGTCCGGATGTCCTGGGCTGTGAGGTTGGGCAGCAGGTTACCCCTTGGAGGGAGGGAAACACACAGAGGGGACTGTGAGAACAGGGTCCCATGGGGAAAGCCCGTCCCTAACCCCACCCCATCAATAAACCCAACGCCTACTCGCAACCCTAACCCGCTTCTATAGCCTCCAACCCTAACCCTAATCCTAGCCATAACACCAACCCTAACCCCCTTCCATAGCCTCCAACCCTAACCCTAACCCTAGCCATAACCCCAACCCTAACCCCCTTCCATAGCCTCCACCCCAACCCTGACCCCCTTCCATAGCCTCCAACCCCAACCCTAACCCCGTTCCATAGCCTCTAACCCTAACCCTAGCCATAACCCCACCCTTACCCCCTTCCATAGCCTCCAACCCCAACCCTAGCCATAACCCCAACCCTAACCCCCTTCCATAGCCTCCAACCCTAACCCTAATCCTAGCCATAACCCCAACCCTAACCCCCTTCCATAGCCTCCAACCCTAACCCTAACCCTAGCCATAACCCCAACCCTAACCCCCTTCCATAGCCTCCAACCCTAACCCTAGCCATAACCCCAACCCTAACCCCCTGGCTGGCTCAGCCACAGGCTCCCCTGCTGTTATTCCCAGCTGGAGGGAAAACTCGACTATCGCCAGGAGGAGGGCGGCTCCAGGAGCTGGGAAGTCCTGTTTATCTGCAATGCGGCCGACTGGACGAACACAGCCTGGGGGCATGGCTCTCTGTGACCCTGAGGGTCCGATCCTCAGCCAGCCAGATCCTGTGCTTGGGGCAGGTTCAGATGGGGAGGTAAAGGCACTTCAGACCTGCTTTGCACTTGCCATACTCTGGGGGCCTGCCTGGTCCTCCATATCAAACAGAGCAGCCTCAGGGCTGCACGGACTTAGACCCTACTTTCCATGGCCCATGGGGGGCAGAGAACAGCCACAGTGCCATCACCCCCAGTCACGACCCTGCTCCATGCCCTATGGGCCCTGGGGGGCAGAGAATAGCCACAATGCAGTTCCATCTGGCCAAGCCCCCAATCCACCCGCTGTGGGCCCTGGGGCACACAGAATAACCACAGTGCAGTGAGGCCTGGGCCATATCCCTGATCCAGTGTCTGGGAGCAGGGTGAGTGCAGGGCCCTTGCCCCAGACCCATGCCGGCTGGAGGAGGGGCCTCAGAGGGTCATTTCCACCCACCTCAAGGTCCCTCTACGCTGCCAACTCAGGACAAAGCAGGTTCGGTGTCCCTGAGCATCGGGCCCTGACCCCCAGAAGAGCTGAGGCGGATGGGTCTTGTACACACCCCATGCAGCCGCCCCAAGTACTCACTTCTCAAAGTCAAAGAGCGGGAAGCGGATGCTGTTCTTAATGAAGAGGGTGAAATTCTCTGCCTCCAGCATGATGGGCCTGCAGGGAGAGAGCCCCGGGAAATCACCCACACGGGACATGGGCAGGGGGCCGTGGCCTGGGGCCTGCCTGGGTGGCCGCGTCCCATCCCCATCTGCCCCCCTGCTCCTGACTATTTACCCACCACAGCTTAAGGCTCTTTGTGTCTCTGGAGTCTGTGCAGCACCTTGCACAACCAGGGAGAGCCGTGCATGGCCTGGGCTGAGGGGCGCTGCTGTGATTGAGAATAATCCTGTCGGGCTGGATGGGCTCTGAGCCAGGTACAGTGTGGATGGCAGTAGCCTGAGCTCAAGGTGACTAAACAGTAAAGACCCCTATGGGGCAGAGCATAGCCACAGCCCCGTGCCACCCGGCCACGGCCCCAATCCACCCCCTATGGGCCCTGTGGGGCAGAGCATAGACACAGCCCCGTGCACCCGTCCACAGCCCCAATCCACCCCCTATGGGCCCTGTGGGGCAGAGCATAGACACAGCCCCGTGCCACCCGGCCACGGCCCCGATCCACCCCCTATGGGCCCTGTGGGGCAGAGCATAGACACAGCCCTGTGCCATCCGGCCCCGGCCCCAATCCACCCCCTATGGGCCCTGTGGGGCAGAGCATAGCCACAGCCCCAATCCACCCCCTATGGGCCCTATGGGGCAGAGCATAGCCACAGCCCCAATCCACCCCCTATGGGCCCTGTGGGGCAGAGATAGACACAGCCCTGTGCACCCGGCCACAGCCCCAATCCACCCCCTATGGGCCCTGTGGGGCAGAGATAGACACAGCCCTGTGCACCCGGCCACAGCCCCAATCCACCCCCTATGGGCCCTGTGGGGCAGAGATAGACACAGCCCTGTGCACCCCGCCACAGCCCCCATACACCCAC